GATCCGCTATGAGCGGTAAGGGATATCGCTCTTTCACCGTAACTGCATTTAGCGCCCGATAATCCACACACATGCGCACCTCGCCCGTTTTCTTTGGCACCAGCACTATAGGGCTCGCATACGCCGAGTTAGACTCCCTAATAATGCCAGCATCCAACATCTCCTGCACCTTTCGCCTCACCAACGCCCTTTCCGTATGTGCCAACCTATACGGCCGATAGTGTACCGGAAAGTCAGTCGACAGTTTGATTTTCATCTCGCCCAGATGAGTCAGACCAACATCCAGGTCGCCCGCTGAAAAACAATCTCTCCTTGCTCGCAACACCTCAATCAATCTCGACTTCGCCCAGTCATCCACGCCACCAACATTCACGCCTGTTAGGTCATCCAAACATGCCGATGTCGCTATAACATTCACCTGTATACTTTCGTCCTCCAGGTACGTCTCTGCCCTCGCCACCAATCGTCCCTTTTCCCAACTCAGAAATGCGTCGCCACAGTTCCTAATCGGGATCAGGTCCGGTCTGTCCGCCGCGATGAAGGAACGACTCAAAACGTAACTGTATGCCGCCGTGCACACACGCCGCTCGTCGATCCTTACCTTGCCACCGGGAACGCCGCCCACAACCTCCACGACCGCCGCCGCAATAGATTATGGTGGACAGATCATACCTGCCGCCAATCGCACCTCGAACTTATCACTCCCACGCTCCGCCAGCGTGAGTCGCCCTAGGAACGCCGTAATATCGCCTTCGTCGCTTAGCAACGCCTTGCCATCCCGCACCACCATTGTAACACCTGGTACGTCGAGACTCGACTGACCCAAAAGAAGCTCGATATCGCCCACATCGACGTCCGCCACTAACGCCTTAACTTCCAGGTCAATCCCGTCCACTTCCGCCGTGAACCACGCCTCGCCCAGCGCCACAACTTGGCCACCGCCAAACCCGCTGAGCACGACGCCTGTGCCTTCCCGCCTTTTACCTAACCCTAAACGTCTCGCCGCCGCCAGGGTAAGGATAGAACGCTCGCTACCCGAGTCAATGTACGCCTTGACAGGGCAACCATTCACAAGCGCCTTCTTAGCGAACGTGTCTGTCGCCTTCAAAAGGAAACTCACCTTTTTCGACGCGCCGTCCACCCGTGGTCCTGTTCGCGTCGCCTCCTTCCGCCGGGGACAGTTCACCCACACATGGTTCGCCTCACCACATTGCCGACACCTCTCCTTCCGCTCCAAGGGGCAATCCCTACTCATGTGGGTGGTCATCTCTTGGCAGTTGAAGCACCTCACAAGCCTAGGTCCCGCCGGCGCCGTAGGCGGAGAGTGCTCCCGTTTCGTAGGCCTGGTCGCCGTACCAAGCCGCTGGCTCAGGGTCCTCGGGCCGGGTGCCTTTGCCGCTGGCGTTCCTTCCCGACAGGACTCCAAACCTGCCAACAAATCGTTATAGAGAGCCTCCGGGGAAGCACACTTCGCCGCGTATGCATTTGCCCGGTAGGTCTCCGGTAATCCGTGTATGATGCACGAGACTGCATTCTCGCCTGAGATGCCAGCTCGTACACATAGCGCCAACTTGTCACGGTAGTACTCGGTCATCGTTTCGCCTGACCGTTTACGCCGGTTCGCCAGTTCCTCGATGAGTTCGCCGAAATTAGTCCTCATCGGGAACGCCGCCTTTAGTCGGTCACACCATTCCGGCCACTCAAAATTAATATGGTCCAGGCGGTGGAACCAACGCTTCGCCGCGCCGTCCAACCTCGCCTGGCTCGCCAACACCTTTTGCTTTCCCGACCAGCCGTGCATCTCCGCCAACATGTCCAGTCGGGAGACCCATCTGCTGATGGACGCCTCCTTAGCATCAGGGTCAAACGGCTCTACTAGGTCCCACGCCTTCTTTGAGCTGAACTTCATCTCAGTGCCCGTTGTGGAACCACTCGCCTCGCTGGCCGCCGCCTGCGGTTTCGGTTGGGGAGCCAACGCCAAGTCCCCCAAGACCAAAGATGCCCGTCTTTCGAATGCCCTTAGCATCTGATCGGCAAAGCCTCCGCTCATCAGTTGGCGCGCCACTTCCTCTGCCAACCTGCTGCGTTCAACTGACTCCCGCGACTCCCCGGGAAGTTCGCCAGCTTCCAGAGACATCGCGTCATCGTCGGACATCGCCTGCCCCGCCGTAAACCTGTGGAATTAAATGGCGTTAAACGCCGCCCGATATAAATCGTTACTACGCCTATGTGCTAATAATTAATCACCAATAACGCCAAAACACCTAAAGAGTCGCCTATTGTCAACAAATTTATTTTCGCCTGTCAACAGTAAAGTGCATGCACGCCAATGTGTTTTGTTTTTCCCGGTCGTTGGAATGCGATTAAGTAACACGTGTGTGCGCCGCAACAAGTGCTCCTTTGTTCGCTTATGCTACAACATGCCACCTGCACTTTTATCGTTAAAAACGAATGCGTCCTTCGCTATTGACGTTCAATTCATGCATTAAACAATACGCCCAGAATAATGGAAAATGTACTCACGCCTTTTCGCCCCTTGTTTTACCTGGTACTATTTCTAACCTCCCCAAAGACCACCAGCGCCGCCGCCCGCCTTAATTCGCCACCACCACGTTTTCGTCTGAATGGTAAGCCGCCTGCTGTGGGTCAGTCCCGCTTCTGATTTGTTGCCGGAAAATACAAAACACCACAGAATAGTTTTACTTATTTTATTAACTTATCTCGATATCACAATTTCACCAGAACGCCTCGTCTGCCTCAATCGCCTTTCGCCACGGTACTGCTCGCCTCGCCCCTTCACGCCGCCAGCCTCCCCTCTCTAAGGTCGCCTACGCGCCCCTAACAATTAGTATGCTATTTGTTAATATTTATACATATTAATAATATATTAAATTAGTAATGTTTATACAATATTGTTGGGGAAATATTTAATATATATTTACATACATTTTATAAATATTTACAGAAAATTTTGTTGGAATCATTACTAGTACAATATTTACGTAATATTGTAATAACGTTTAATTATTAAATATTGGTTCATAAATGGCATAGTAACATTTTGACGATATTTTGTGCTATGTGGGATAAATCGATACCTTCTCTTTTAGAGAATTTACCAATAGACATGATCAAAAACTTTCCACTTGATTACATGCATTTGGTTTGTCTTGGGTTTGTAAAAAAAATGATAGACATTTGGTACGGGAAGCCCGGCAAGGGCAAACTGTCGGCATCACTTTTAACTTGTATATCAACAAACCTAGAAAGCTGTCGTGAATGGATTCCAAATGAATTCAATCGGAAAACACGCAGCTTACATGAATTTAGAAGTTGGAAAGCAACCGAATTCCGTACACTTTTGTTATACACGGGACCCATCTATTTAAAAAACGTTTTAGAACCAGACTATTACAAACAAGGACGTTAAAAATACTGGACACGGCATTCTGTATCTACTATTAAAATTAAAGTGAAGCCAACATGTGTTTAGGCGCGGGTGTGAAGGAGGAACGACAAGTGCCTCCAGCAACAGTGGCGTTCCCGATTAAATTTCTAACGGGGTCAAAAAAATTATCACAACAGAATGCATGTTTGGTCACATACCTTCTCATGATAATCAAACCGTTTCCAAAATTATTCCTGAATGAAATTAAACTGCATTAGGTTCACATTCTTGTATATTTCATGAACACATATAAAGAAAATATGTAAAAATTTATTTTTCATCGAATAAAGAATAACATAGTTCAATAGTAAGACAAACAAATCGATTATTATTATACACATTATAATTCTACAAAGTAAACCATATTTTATGAAACATCATTCTTGGGTTACTTACTGGTTTTTAAATAAAATAGTTTTTGTTAACACACTTCTTATCCTATTTGTTTTTAAATCAAGACTTTTGGACGCTTCATGGTGGATTCGTAACTTAAAGTATTTTTCCAGGATTAATTTTATTAATGTAGTTGCATGACTTTCCAATATATCGCCGTCAAACAAATGATTGCCAAAGTAATCATACACAGTAGAAGGCAAAGTGTGTAAAGTACCATTGATTAACGTATCTCTAAGATTTACAACGTTTTTATTAAAAATTTCACGAGTTTTGTGAAAAAATTTAAAATTTTCTCTGCTGCTTTGCATGTGTTGATTGCAATAGGAGCAGCACATATTAACCTTTTATACTCCTTTCTAATGTGCAACCTTGAATGACATTCAACATCTTCAATAATATTAATACATTTAGAACAAGTGATAATTTTTTTCAAACATTTTACAACAAATCCAGCTATATATGTTACCACATCTTCTGCATAATCGGTCAAATGCCACACAGATGAACCCAAAAAGTTATAGGATACCAAATCATTTTCCACTTCTTGTTGGAAGAGTTTTGCTTCTTTTGAGTTTGAAATATCGTCCCCATCCTCATTTGTAGTGACCCTTTTCGTTCCGGTATAGTATAATATAGATGTTGCATCAAGGTTTATGACATTTCCCAAATCTCCGCCCTTTATTTGATTGTGAACAAGTAAACGTTTGTACGATGCAGAAAATTGTCTAGCCGTCGGATTATTGTTCCATCCACCCCGACTTCGTATTGCTCCAAAAAATAATTCTAAATGGTCTTGAGAAAATTTGTACGTCAATAAATAGTTTATTATTTTATTGTCAATGATGTACTTTTCATAAATTGATCGAATACTTTTAATGCATATTAAAAATCCAATAAAGCCTGTTTTTCTTTGTGAGTGAATTACCAATTCGTTTCGTATTTTTAAAGTTTTTATGTAGTCCTCAATTTTTTCTAAATATAAAAAAAAATGTTCTCTAGTTTCTAGTGAAAGTGGCTGTTTGTACAAATATTTAGCAAAACGATTTCTCGAATTAAGGATGTTAAATAAGTCATTAAATATAAGAATAAACTGTGCTGTAGGTTTTGCATTTTGAAATTCTTTAATATGCAAGTCATCACAAAGGCGTCTGAAACACTCTTGCTTAACGTTTGCGCAGCAATTTTAACCCTCATCTTTTCTTTTGTCCAATCTAAATGTCTGTTTTTTACTTTTGTTGCTGCATGTAATCCTTCAAGGTTTTGCATGTTGACCAAACGTGTAATGTAACTCCATTCAATGTTATTGCCTTCAAAATCTTCAAGATTACCAAAACTTCCCCAACAATTTCTTACAAGTTTGAGCATATGACAAGCGTCTAGAAATATGTACACTTCACAATTTGTTACTGGATGCAAAAAATAAGGTTTTAAATTATTTACATTACGTAGGTTTGCGCCTAACACTTCAACCATGGAAATATTTACAGGTGCTCCATCAAAGGTGACTGAAGTAATATTCACACCACTACTGTCTAGAAACTGCAAACAGTTTTTTAACAGTGTTGCTCTTTCTATTGACGATAAACCATCTAACAGAAAATAGCCTACCGGAATTTTCCAATACGCATTAAGTGCCACCGCATAAAAACAAGTACTTCTTTGGCTTCTGGCAAACTGTCGGAATTCAAATCGCAGCCTACAGTGACGTATCCGGTAAATTTTGTGCCAGTCCATTCCACTTGCTTTCTAATAGACATTTCGTCCATAACCAAATTGCCTAAAATTTGCACACCTTTAGCAGTTGCATCGTCACATTTTAGTTTTATGGCTGCAAGTGCTTCTTTGGTAAATCCTGGTTCGCCGTTTACAGAACAATACCATTTTGACAATGTTCTGGGGTGTGGTAATGTTTTATTAAGCACATCTCGAACATAATTGTAGGCTCTAGCAGAGTAAAAATTTAGTGTAAGAGCAAATTCTCGTAAAGCAGGGGTGTACTTTTGTTTCTTTGGTCCAAGCAACACCCTTCCCAATAGTTCTTGACCAGAGTTTGATAAGGAAGCCTAAAATAAAACAAACGTTACTTATAAAGTTTTGCTACAGATTACTTGTAAAACAACAGAAAATGTATTGGAATTTTTTGCTACCCTTACAGTGTCCAAATTATGATGGGAAAGCTACTTTTAACGTCTTTGGGGAAACTGGAGTTTCGGCGTTATTACGAAAAATAGAGACTAACATCCTGTACCTGCAGCTTGATCAAACAAGAAATAGTAATTTAGTTGGGTTTGAACTTGCATTGGTTTTTTGTTTAACAATTTATTGTATTATTTAATTTAACTGGATATTGTTTTTAATTGCAGTTTGAAAGAGAATATAACCTTTTAAACGTTCAGATAAAATCAAAACCCGGATTAAAAAATAAAATTTAGCAACCTACTCGAATAATGTGCTTCGAATTTTCCGAAATGTATTCTTTTTTCTTCAATAGTGTTAGGAGTGACTGTAAATTCGTAACTCTAGATCTCAACCTTCGAATTTTCTGATTAAGTGTAACAACTCTTCTCCTATACTTTACAACAGCACCCTTCAGCATTCGCGCATGTTTCTTTGCTTTCTTTGGTGTGGAAAACTCATCGCTAGCAATATCTCCTACATAACGTTTTTTGCTACAATAAAGTATACTTTATATGTGGGTAACCTTTTTTTTGGTTAAATTAGTCATACCTGCTTCCATCTTTGTTTACATTTGGATATGCAGTAGATGGTCCAGCACAGAAAATATCTCTTTGCCCAGGAGGTGTTGTTTGTCCGATAGCTGATTTCTGTTCAAATTCAGATGCTGTTAAGGTCCCTGAAGATGACTTATGTCTAAACAATCCAAAAAGTAAAATTGTTGATATTTATACATAAATAGATTCACTAAATCAAAGGTATTTACAGCAAGTAATTGTTATTTATACGAGTATTAATATAACTGCAGATTGTTTTTTTTACTAAATGATGATTGGTTACTTTATGTACCTTTAAATGTTACAATTACAACTCTAATGGCAGGTTTCTCCAACAATATGCAACACTTAAAACCAGCTTAAGTTTAACGTTACTAAGAAAGTAACTAATTTCAATCCACCGACAAATATCATGTCTCTATTACTTACTTACTTAAGTGTATTGGAGAAACCGGGCATTACACCCTTAACACACAAGTGAGCTTCATGCACAAGAAGGTAGGTGCTTGGTTATTACAGCCCTATTGTTATTATAGGTATGTATACGTCTTCTAGTCACGGATCTTTACCCCTGCGTCATAGATTTGTTAATCAATTTCAGACATACGCTTGCATATACTAGAAAACTGCAACATGTATCAAGCAAGCGAAATCTACATCAAACTTAATGTCTAAAATTGATTCACAAATCAATGACGCAGGGGCAAAGATCCGTGACTAGAAGTATATAATTGCACTGCTTCCACCAGACCAAACACTACTTACTATCATAATTACACTTACACAGTTTTATGAGATACGTTATCTCGGAGTTTAGGAGGAGTATTCGTTTTTGTAGAGCTACCTGTAGTACGTCTAAAAAATATGCAGTTTCACACAGAATCACATCACGAACTATACTTACTTGCGCTTTAATGGTTGCTGACAAGGAGGTTGCTGACACGAACCACTGCTACTAGAGCTGCACATAATACAATTATTAGTGTTCATTTTACAATTACACAAAATTACCTACCTCAAATTTTGTGTAGGTGATAAATTTGAGTTATAAGGCATTGGTTTAGCGTCGCTTTTTAAGTACTTTAAACCAGATGGTTTGATTTCAAAATCACTCTGTCGGAAATGTTGCGAGCATATTCGAGAGGTTTTTGTCAGTTTTTTATCTTCTTTAAAATTCAATAAACTGAACCATTCCTTAATGAGATCATTGTTCTTCGTGAATCTATAAAATGAGAAAGTAAATTATCTACGCCACTGATCTCAATAACACAATAAGAGCAACATAACCTCAAAAAAGTACTTACGCGTGAAATGATATTCCTTTTTTTCGCCTATCATATGCATTGCATACTTCACAACGCCGCACCATGATATAAATAATTGTCACAGGCCACACTTAGTCAAAATCACGTAATTAGACAAAAAACAACTTTCACGTAGGCGTGTAAACAAACAAACGACCATACACGAACTTTGCCAAAGGCGTGAACACGACCAAGCCACAGAATAAAGTGCTACTATTCTATGACCAAGCTGAGGATAACAATGCGTGGGATGTTGGCTTCACAACAAATCGTACAATCAGTGCTATTCTCGTGCACATTGAAAACTTTTCAATATTGAAAAGCTTACAATTGAAACATTTCAAGTCCCATTTCAATATTGAAAGTTTTTCGTATTCACGTGCTACTATTGTAATGGTATCTTTACGGTTTACAAGATTGAAAAGCGAACCAATATGAAGTTGTAATACAGCTCTGCCAACCCACAAATTTCGGTACTTTGCGCGTGCGCCACACTGAGATCAGCTGTTTATGGTATATTTTTATTATCCAGTAACGCACTCGCTTTTTGTTCAAATCACAATTCGAGTGCTTTTAGCCAATTATGTCAGTAAAAACTGTAAAGAGACCCCGAACTACAAAATCGCTATTTAGTATTTACGTGGAGTACCTTGAGAGGAATTCTGTGTTAAGAACGGGAAAACTTTCCCCCAATTTAGGCGCTGAAGATGTTCAGAACTTGTGGGTGAAATTATCGCAGGCCTTAAATGCCTGTGGAGATGGGCCGACAAGAGATTCGGATGGATGGAAGAAGGTATTTTCTAATTTTTATTATAACAGGTTAATGCAATTTGAATTTCTAAAGGTCTTCACCGAGTGGAAGTCCCAAGTAAGGAAAAAGGCACGTGAAAATAAGGTCCTAAATGAGTTGGAGCTGCGTTTATTAAAAGCAACTGGCACAGTAGTGGTAGATGGTATTTCTGAAATACCAGAGTTAGGAATTAATGAGGTCGACTTTGTTCAAGCGGTTGACGGTGTTGAATTAGAATTGGTATTTACGTTATTCTGTTAATACAAAATTTGATTTAGTTCAGTTTTTATAGGCAGACCATGTAGAGCAAAGCATACAAATTGTAGAGGAAGAAAATGCTTTTAATGATATTCACAAGGATACTCATTTAGAGCAAGGTATTGAAAAGCCCGAAGATTATGTGCAAAGCGAGGTAGGAAGAAAGTCGATTAAGAAGAAAAGTAAGTACAGCTACCACATTCAAAATTAGTAGAGACATGTCACTTTCACTCATGCAGATTGGCCATGGAAAGGCATTTTACTCCTAAAGTTTTTTTTTTAGTTGGATATTGTTTGATTTTGCTTTCAGAAAAAAATTCAACACAAATCCTGTTAGAGGAGTATCAACGTCAACAAGAAGTGCACCAGGAAGGATTGCAAAAGGTTGCTGCTTCACTACAATCAATAGCTAATGGTATACACCGACTATGTAACATTCTTGAAAAAAAAAATGGAACTGAATAATCAATCACATATCTTTTAAATGTAATTTTGTTTCATAGCTCGAAAACGTTGTGCAAAAACAGCATCAGAACAATATCAGTTGTATGTCGACTATTTACTTCGAAATAAAACGAATAAACCCAATGCAGACTTAGATTTTTGTAAATTATGCCAACTATTAAACACAGGAAATGGCCCTTCACGAAATGAAAAGGAATGGAAACAGGTTGAAGACCCCCAAATAAAATGTTTATATGTTAGCAAAATAAAATATTTTTTGATTAGGTATTTGCGGAATGGACTTCAAAAACAAAAAGAAAAGCAAGAGACATATATGTCCATCAACAAATGACTGGTGGTGGACCTCCGATAAATACGTTTTTAACCGACTTAGAAGAAAAGTTACTGTCCGTTATAAATATCATAGCCGTGTATGGTATGAACGTTCCTGAGCTTGGTCTAACAAAATTTGGACAAAAACAAACTTTTCTTAAAACACCTACGTATGTGGCAACAAAGATAAAAAAATATCATTATCATCGTATGTCTTTAATACTTGTAAATATGAATAATTAATTGTATATTATGTTTCAGGTGATTTTCAAATGCAACGTAAAGTGCTGAACATCTACAGGTTATTTAGTATTAATTACAATATATTTTATATGTCCCTTAAAGGACTACTAAGAGCGATAAGCAGATTACTGTTAATGTTAATTCATAAAATGATTTCTGATAACCCTATTGCGGATGTTTCTTCCTCGAATTAAAACATTGTTGTCACCATAGTTTTCGTTGTGTATATCACAAGGTATATCATCTCCCATATTTTCATCAACTAAAATGTCATTCTTTAAATGAAATAATAAAAAATGTACAAAAACATACTTTCCTCTTCTACATCTATTTCTCCTCTATCGACACACAAATTGTGCAAAACAGCACAGCTATTAATGATTTTTGCAGCCACCGGTGGACTGTAATGTAGCATTCTGGCACGTCCCAGACATCTAAAACGACCTTTTAACACGCCATTTAATCTCTCGATAACATTTCGCACACTTTTGTGTCCCATGTTATAACGTCTTTCGGGATCAGTTAAGTTAATTCCAGCAACAGGTGTTAATAGCCAGGGCTCCAGAGGGTAACCTGAATCTCCTGAAACCAAAACGCCAACGAATTGAAATATAAGAAATAGTCTGCATTACCAATTAACCAACTGTTTTGGTTTCCTTCATCATGCATGGCAATAAGGTGTCTTCTTATTAAACTTGTAGACCAGATTGCGGAATCATGTACAGATCCGGGAAATCTTGAATTAATTGCAAGGATTCTTAAGTTTGCATTGCAAATCTGTAAAATAATTTTTTATAACAGACTGCTTTGATTAATCGGTTATCCTTACAATTTGTACATTGATGCTGCAGTAGCCTTTACGGTTTAGAAAAACCATTCCAGGATAGTGAGGGTCTTCGTGAGGAGGTGCAATGATTGCTACATGGGTGCAATCTATTGCACCGATAATTCCCGGAAATCCATTGGGCAAGGACATAAATCTAAAATTAAAAGTGAAGCAATTTCAGTTGTAGTTTACAGTAGGGAACCTACCTCTGCTTTTCAACAGCACATTCTTCAGGTGTTGATGGAAAATGAATTAGATGATAGAAATTTTCCAATGCCACATTTACTTCATAGATACCTACATCTACTGATCGAAGGTTGACTCATAGGCGTTACATAATCTTGACCTACTACTTTTTGGTAGCTGCCATGGGCATAGAACTGCAGTGCAGCTAGAATCTGTAATTTGACTTGAAACTCGTTTGAACTGAGATACCTACATACCTTCAAGTTTTTTGGAATATATAGGACGTTTCGTCGAGTGTCATGTAGGTGTGGATCCAAATCGACTATTAAACCATGAGCCATTTGACGAGATATCCTGTACATATTTTTGAATGTGGTTTCGGGTAAAGATAGTGGATCACTTGCATCACGCAATTGTCGCCGGTATAAACGTTGTTGATTGCTATTTAATTCGTTATTGAACAAACTACAAACCTTCATACCTACCTACATTTCTTCAACATGTTCAAGTGCATTGATTAATAAAATAAATGCAGGATTGTCCATTGTACTTTAGAAATGTAATACTTAACCTTTAAATTTTCTTGAAATAGTTGATAGCAATGATCACAAACCGCTTGCTACAGTTTTCAATCTCCAATTTCCAATATTGAAAGTTTTACAATTACAATCTGTCACAAGATTACGAAAATGAAGGTCATCTTGTAATATTTACAATTCTTGTAAACTTTTCAATATCTTAAAAGTTTCAAGGCGCACGAGAATAGCACCGAATGCCGTGTCCGTATTTTTAACGTCCTTGATTACAAACCGTTTGACACGATACTAAATTTAGTACTAAATTGCAAACAATTTGTGCGCGCGCCGATTTAAAGCTCCTTAAAAATTAGGAAGCTGAAATCCTGTTTGTCACTGCATAGCGTATAGCAGTAAAAATTTAGTCGAATCGCATGCGTAAAATACCCAAGGAATCAGCTGTGCACTGTTTGTTTTTATAACCTACAAAATCTTAAATCACATATCAAAATAAAGTTATAAAGACATCGTAATAAGTTTGTTTGAAAATGGACGATAATATATTATTGGTAGGAGCAGCCACTTGTAATATCATTATTATGCATTGTGCTAATGAACCTAAGGATGCTCCTCGTAAAAAACGTAAATTGTGGATGCGAAAGTGGATCAATCGACGGTCCGTAGGAAAAGGATTATTAAGTATGTTAAATGAGGAACTGTTATTGGAAGATCCCACTTCGTACAAAAACTTCTTGCGAATGGACAATGCATCTTTTGAAAAACTCTTTCGGAAAATAGAAATACAAATAACAAAACAAAATACTATAATGCGTGACAGTATTTCTGCACGAAGCAAGTATGTCTGTACATTAATTTAATCTTTGCATAGCTATCCACTTTTCTCAGACTAGAAACCACTCTTCGCTTCTTAGCGACTGGGGACACATATAGATCACTGATGTATAGCACGCGTATCCACGAAAGCACCATTTCGAGATTTGTTCCTCAAGTTTGTTATATAATATACAACTTTTTAAAGGATGAGTATCTCAAGGTACAAGAGAAATCATTGTGATAAAATATTACTATTTTTTATAAAACATTTTTTAGACTCCAAACGATACGGATAGTTGGCTGGAAATAGCAAACGGTTTTTATCAAAACTGGCAATTTCCCAATTGTTTGGGAGCGTTAGATGGCCGTCATATAAGTTTCCGGGCTCCAATTTCAGCAGGTTCATATTATTATAATTATAAGGGCGACCACTCAATAGTGCTGTTGGCTATGGCGGATTACTCATATCGAATTACTTACTACAACGTTGGAATTAATGGTCGCATAAGTGATGGGGGAGTATTTCGTGAAAGCAGCTTGTCCAAAGCTATATTTCAAGATTGTTTGAATTTGCCAGTTGATGGGCCACTACCAGGACGACGAATGAATGTTCCGTATGTAATTGTTGCCGATGACGCTTTCCCCATCTCTACCCGAATTATGAAACCATACCCACAAAGAAATCTAACATACGAGCAGAAAATATTTAATTATCGTTTGTCGAGATGCAGGCGCATTATAGAAAGTACATTTGGTATTTTGGCGAATAGATTTCGGGTACTTTTGACTCCGATTAATTTGAAACCAAAAAAGGTTGAATTAATAACCCTAGCATGTATTGCATTACACAACTTTTTATCCAAAGAAAATCATACATCATACACAGAAATACAGGAAGATGGCTATTGCCAAATGCAAGATATTGGACGACAAGGTGGTAATAGAAGCTCCGCTCTTGCTCTTCGCATAAGAGATGAATTCAAAGATTTTTTTAATAGTGAAGATGGGGCTGTAGACTTCCAGCACAATGCCATCACAAGATATAATATGTAAATTATCACTTAATGCTGCTCATTTTTATTAAAATACGAGTGTATCCTAGACAATTTAACATATTTAAACTGTAGTAATAGTAAAATATTATTGATTATCTGTACAAATGTAATTCAATTATTTTTCTTGCGTAGGAGCTGTCGTCGTGCTTTAAAAATTATACTTGTAATTTGTTCTTGCGTATCACAATGTAACTCCTCATCATGTTCGAGAAATCTTAATTGTGATTCAACAAATGATGCAAAACTATCCCTATCCGTTTGGGATTTATGTTGTTCCGGGGGTTGTTTACTTTTTTTTTATGTGATTGCGTTAGTTATTTCCTGCAGCGCGATTGTAGCATTATTCATTAAAACTTCTTTATTATCAACACCCTCGATATATTTCCTCTTAGTTCTTGACCCATTGCGAGAACCAACATTGGAAGCATTTACCACATCTTTACGTTCCTCCATCATATCAGTTATATTTTGAGAGTTCAACTACAAGTAAAAAGCAAATTAACATTTAAAGATCTAATGCACTTACTGTAGTATTGGCCACAACTTCATCCGCAGCATCGTCATACACTATTTCCACATTTTCAATATCGTAATCCTCGAGGATCCTATCATCCTGTCCCTTTGATTGTGACATGTATGTATGGTCAGTCATATTCTCACTTATACCAATACTATCAACTGCAGGACGGGGAAGCGTGTGTTCCAAAATAAAAATGAGAAGGTCATAATACCACAGGGATGGTTTATAAATCTACAAACCTAATGTGTATAGAGAAATTTCTGCGCTGTAATTGCACGTACCTCTGAGGTTCCTGCGCCACTACGCTGAGATGCAATTTCTTTCCTATGTTCTGTTAAACAATTGGTGCGTAGATTAGAAAACTTATTCTTAATTTCTGCAATTTGTACTCCGGGACGAAGTTCTGCTATGTCTTGACGTATAGCTTCCAGTGCCGCAGCTCGAGCATGTTTGTTTTTATAACTGGAACTTTTCACGGCGTACAAACATGGATGCTGTTTATATAAATCGATTAATAATCTCACTTCGTTCTGGGACCATGACATGGCTGTTGCTTGGTAGAGATTTTTGGCGAAAGTAACGTAAAATTAGAAATCAATGACAACAAACAAAACGCGATGACCTAACCTTATCTTAATATTTGTTAATGTTTGCGGCGCAACTATCTGCGCACTTTCAGGATTGCATGCACAAGAAAATAGAACAAGTCCTATTTTCTTGGGGTTTACGTATCTAAATCGGCGCGCGCACAAATTGTCTGCAATTTAGTACTCAATTTAGTATCGTGTCAAACGGCTCTTAAGTATAGCCATACGTATATGCCTTTCCTCGGGTTATCATAAAATGTACTGTGAGTATGCAAACGAACTTTTGCTTTACTTTGTGAAAAACTTCGCGAAATTGTATGGCAAGTGTAATGTCACATATAATGTGCATAATTTAATTCATTTGAAGGATGACGTCAAAATGTTCGGCCCTTTGCATCAATTCAGTGCCTTTTCATTTGAAAATTACCTTGGATACTTAAAAAGATTACTAAGAAGTGCACCACATGCTTTACAACAAATTCATAACAGAATCAGTGAAATAAATAGCGTTAACCCGCAAGAAAGTTCCTCTATTAATAATAACCGTTACATGAACTTTTTAAACTTTTCTATTTCTATACACACAAAAGGTAACAATGTTGTTTTACTAAAAGATAACCAATATTAATTGTTTATGCAGCCCAGTGGACCCTATGATGTGACATATGCTAAACCAATTTGATAATTATTTTAATATGCCTCACAAACTAAATTTTGCAATTCAATTTCATGTTTGTTAGCTGGTTTTTTTCGTGGTCAGTTCTTTTTTTTCCCAACCTATTTTATATTATTTTGCTCGGCGAACTACCATTTTCAAAATCTATAATTACAATATGATTTATTTACGAAGGCGTAGAAAGGCCAACGCGATTTTCTTTGTCAAATTGACACTTTTTTATGTCAATTAGGTATAATTGACAGTTTCTCCTGTCAATTACGCAAAATTGACAGTTTTTCCTGTCAATTACGTATAATTGACAGTTTTTCCTGTCAATTACGTATAATTGACAGTTTTTTCTGTCAATTACGTATAATTGACACTTTTTCCTGTCAATTAAGTATAATTGACCGTTTTTTCTGTCAAGTAGGTATAATTGACAGTTTATTCTGTCAGTTAGGTATAATTGACAGTTTATTCTGTCAGTTAGGTATAATGACACTTTTTTCTGTCAATTATATATAATTGACAGTCTTTTCTCTCAATTAGACATAATTGACAGTTTTTTTTTGTCAATTAGATAATTGACAGTTTTTTTCTACTGTTGAGTTGTAACAGCTCATTATTTGGTTATTGTGATTTCTACAGGCGAATAGGTACGCAGTTTCGTAACTTTGTTGTTTTTGCGGTTAGTTTTTGAGAAAAAAATGAACATCTACGAAAGGAGCTCTGAGCCTGGCAATCCGGTGGGTAACTTTTGCCTTAAATCATTTTTTTATACAATCTCTAATCAATTCTTATATTGGGATATGTTGTATTTTTGTAGCTTACGAATGAATCTACTGACAGCTTGGTGAAAAAATACTTTACCTTTGGATTCCAACAGAAAGAAATTCTTGCTTTTTTGCAATTACTTCACGGTGTAAGCATATCCCCCAGAACGTTACGACGAGTATTATCAAGACTGCGTCTGTACAGGAGAAAGAACTATTCTCCTATACAAAATATTGTTAACTTCATTGAAATGGAAATCCAAAAATCGGGACAACTTCATGGGTATAAATGGATGCATTTAAGATGCTTACAAAATAATTTAATAGTGACACAAGATGTTGTACGTCACTTATTACGTTTACTAGATCCCCAAGGAGTTGAAATACGGAAAAGGAAAAGACTTCGCCGCAGACAATATTTGAATAAGGGCCCCAATTTTTTATGGCATGTAGATTCGTACGACAAGCTTAAGCCGTATGGAATATGCATAAATGGATGTATAGACGGATTTTCCAGGCATATTATTTGGTTAAGAGTAGGTTCAACTTCTAGTGATCCGAAGGTAAATTAAAATGACATAAAAGACGAGTAGACTTAACAATGTTGTCTTTTAGGTAATAGGTGGTTACTATCTAGACGTAGTAAAAGAAATAGGTGGTTGTCCCCTAACGGTCAGGTGTGACATGGGAAATGAAAACAAAACCTTAGAACACCTGCAAGTTACCCTAAACGAAGTGTTTAAAGACGGGACCTGCAGAAGACCTCCATTTATTGTGGGTAAAAGCACTCATAATCAGAGGATTGAAGCTTGGTGGGGTGTCCTACGCAAACACAGTGCGCAATTTTGGATGAACTTATTTCAGACACTCAAAGAGGATAATTTATTTGACGGTTCCTTTCTTGATAAGTCTCTAATCCAATTTTGTTTTGCCAATCTTATTCAGGTACGGTAAAAGGTGAATGTAGAAAGTCATAAATGAAATAAAAAATAAAAATTAAAAACCAGCTATGCCATATTGCTGATGGTACTTACTACAGTGACTTTATACTCAACAGTGTGGTCATAGAGCGCGACGGCCGCCATGTTTCCTCCAAATTTATTATGGAGCTGATTGGTTTATCTGAATTCGTAGCTTTTGCTATGGTTAACTAGATTTATACAGACCACGCTCATGTATATACTCGTCGCCAGGAAAGATTGCCGGTCATAGAACACTTGATGCCGATCTACAATCGTATCATTTAATATTAAAAACATGGCAAATTAAATTACGTCCGTAATAATATTACTTTGATTAGAATATATTTCCTAATCAGTATTATTATTAGGGAAGTAATTTGACATGTTTTTCATGTTAAACCATACGATTGTAGATCGGCATCAAGCGTTCTGTGACCGGCATTCTTTCCTGATGTATAGTTGCAATAGTTTCCAACAAGGTGCTTTCATCACCTTGGTTTCCAGGTTAATTTCTACCAATCCGGTGTACCTGGAGGAAACATGGCGCAACCAATAGAAAACATGACCACTCTATGGACACACTGTTAGTATAACGTCACTGTAGTACCTACTTACTAGTCGTCATTGGCAATATTGCATGGCAAGCCTTGCTTGGTTAGTGTGGGTACTGTATTGAGAGGAACAGTGATATTAAGAAGTAGACATGGTGATTTATGTGTATTGTTTTTTCCTATGCCTACTTTTAAAAGACAAAATCTCTTCTGAAGGGCGCCAATTTTATGCAACCATAATAACTTCTTACAACAAATAACGATTTGGCTGTCATACCAATTAATTTAAATTGTTACCGGCACTATACCAATTGACAATATCAATTTTTTCTTCAGTTGAATACATCGCACACGAACGAAAATGAAATACGGAAGCCAAAGCATCAATATTCAAATTAATTAATACAACAGCCAGATCTTTATTTGATTTAAGAAGTTATTTTGGTTGCGTAAAATTAGGCGCTCTTCAGAAGATATTTTGTCTTTTAAAAGTAGACATAGGGAAATCCAATACACGTAAATCCCTATGTCCACTTCTTAATAAATATCGCTGTAGATACTGTACAAACGTTACTAGGATCGATTAAAATAGCGGTTCAACATTTTTGAGATTTTTTTATTTCAGAGGGATATGGATCAAGTTATTTTGGAATGGAACGTTCACAGAATAAGCAGATCACGAAACAGCATCTCGCCCACTGGAAAACCAGCCATTATGTTTGAAATGCCCTCTTTGTACAATGCAGATAATTATCTCATACCTGTACCGTCCTTTGCCACAGACGAAATGTCTATTCATTGTGCTTATAACTCATATCCTTGCGATAAAGATTTCTACGACCTGTGCAATATATTGATAAGTGAAAACATGTACTCAATTGTAGTAGATCCTTACGCTGCTGTGAACCTTTATACAAATTTGAGACATGATCTGCTGGATATATTTGCTAATTAAGTATATACTGTATTTTTTATAAACTATTATACGTAGATTAGTCGCCAAAGGTTTATCTAACAATTTAATTGCATTAAATATATTTTTGTAAAAGTATTTATTTATTTCAATACCTACAAAAATTAAACACAAACTCGTTATTAAACGTAAAAATAAAAAAGAAGGTATATTATTAATTTAAAATACAAAAAAAATAAAGACAATACCGAAAAAAATTACAACTGATTGCTACTTTTAAATAAATGCGGACTAACAATAATACATATCTAACGATTTCAACAAAACATAGATAAATAAAACACCAAAATTCTGAAACAAAATTAAATTCAGCTATAAAATAATTTTAATTTTACATCATGCACTTCATATTATGTCCATAACCCATATGTTTGAGTTAAGGAGGCTGTTGAACTCACTCCTAAAATCAACAAAGCTGTCATAAGTGCAAGGCAGTTCCAATAGTCCCGTACATGTATGAGCCACAGGTGTTCGTTGAAATCCGTTTGTTGTCGTAAAAGATACCTCAATAATCCTGGTAATCAAATCGGATCCAGTGCAAAACCTTAAAAAGGCCGACCTTGTTTTCAGATCCATTTCTTTGATATATCTTTTGAGATAATCATAAACTTTAGTCATGTTAGCAGTCATTATAAGGTCTTTTTTAATTTCTATTTTACCAAGTATATTCTTTGTGGTTGGTTCCAAGTCACCATAAATTTTCTCTAAATCATCTTTTGTAATAACGCTCTCTAGGTGGGGTCTAATGCATTTTGCCACGAAAGATGGCTTCTGTATTATTTCTTTGTGCGCGATATCAATAATTAATTGTTTTATGTTGTCTTTGCTTGGTAACCATTTAGTGTCAAAACCGCTTAATATTTCTAGAAGATCGTCTTTATTAGTATCATCGAAATTATCTACTGCATTTTTTAACAACTCACATTCTGATTCGCTGATGTACTTTAGAAAATTGGGTATCAATGACTTTTCTTCAGGTGAATCATAACCTAGACAACTGAGCATGAAAATTGGGGCAATCCTGATAGGAAAATATTTTTGACTTTTCCACCCAAACACTACAATTCTAGCTACAGCTTTCCATTGAATTTCTCCAAAATCATGCCTGATGTATGGTACTTTCATAGTAGTTCCCAACGTACACTTTTCATAAAAATCTTGCCAAAATTCGGATAAGGCATCCCGCAAGACGCCTCCCATATCCGAAGCAATCTCTATATCTCCATTTGGTAATATCATTTCGACTTGCAAGTTATACGTTGCAAATGTTTCATCTTCAAATGCTTTAATCAATTCCTCAAAAATTTTTCCCCGATGAAGTCGTAATAACTTTGTTTCTACTAAAATATTATTGCTAACACCTGCAATGACGGTTCCTACGTTTTGGACAGGATCAGGGGATAAATTGTAACGATCAGCGTCAAATGCAGTTAAATCCAAACTGAATGTATCTTCAATTGGAATGTTATTCAATAACATTCCTTGGTCCTCGAGAGCTTCCTAAAAAATGATAATGTCAAATATTTCCATTGACTATGGTGGGTCGGCAATAACACCTGATATCAATCATTTTGGCACCACTTACCGTGTCATAAAAATGCTGATAGTAGTTAGTGATATTATTTTCAGAATTCTCCAAACGAGACGATCTTCGTAAATTACTACTTGTAGACGGTAGGTTGCTGGCTAGGACATCTTCAATATCGCTGTCATCACTCGTCATAAACATGCTGGATTTGTTAGCCTGATTAGTACCATTTGAAGGTTGTTTTGGAATGAGAGACTCTGAAGCAAGGTAAAATCTGAGGCGTGTGATTCCGGTATCTTTAAACAGACTGTCCACAGTTGCTGAGTCCTCTATTGGATGTTGTTTAAAATCCAGCAAAGAGTTTCTGAATTCATCAAGATTACCTTTCGTTGATTTTCCATCAGGGAAGAATAAATTTTGACTCTGTACAAAGATGTCCTTCGCTAAGCACGTTTTAGGAACAGATAATTTTCTAGTACCACCCCCTTGTTTTGCTCTGACTTGTGTCAGTTTTTGTTTCACATTATCATTGCACAGCCACCCAATTTCAATAATCCTCGTATTTTTTCTAGAGAATTGTACTTTTTTGTTATCGTTTCCAGAAGTTTTAGTATCTTTTGATTGTAGTTTTAGCCTCAATCGTTCTATGAGACTCGATCTACGTGCACAAGTTTTTTGCCTACAATAATCTTTTATTGCCACACGATCACCATAGCGAGGTATCCATTCTTTTAATTTATCGTCATCTATTATTTGCAAGGCTACGCTATCAATCTGAATATAAAAAATTAAAATTAAATATTTACTGATGTAACTAAGCTCTAAACACAACACCTACGTTTTCTGCTTTAAAATAAACGATTGACTGCTCTGCGACACCTCGTTCCACCATAAATTTGTATAAGTCGTCCATCTTAAACAAAACCTATATTAATATTTTTGTATATTGACAGTGGTGAATCTTACACCGACAGAGCGACAGAGTTAATAAATGTAGTGAAAAACGTTCCTCAAGATTTGCGTACACTGAATTCTAAATATTTTCGCAACGTTCTACGAAACATTTGCGAAACTACTCTTGAACAATATAATGTCCATACATATTATTAGCAACGCAAGGCGGACGTTTGAGCCTTAGGTTTCGTATTTGTTGCACCACCTTAAGCTAAGTAATAATGCAAAACGCGCAAAATTTATGTTACAATTACTCTACTGTTGCATATATTTATGTTCGCTGAGTTGGTACCCTACATAATACATTGAAACCATTTAAACTCTAATAATAATAATAATAATAATACGCTACCTGAGGAGCGTCAGGGCACGTCTGGAGCTATCGCTGGGCGTTGCAGCATGCGAGCCGATAGTGACGAGTTGGTGAACAGGCGGCCGCTCGTTGGGATACCCGAAACCTTTACAGCCGAAAGAATACTACGAAGAGGACAACGACCACTTGAGGAGGACCGCCAAAAAGAGACCTTTGTGCCTGCTTGTGGATGGGACCAGCGCAAAGGAAACCTCCAAAAGACGTATGAAATGGGACGAAGGGATGAATCGCTTCATTTTCGGTACGTATCTGGAGATCACGAAGATGGAAACGGACAGGACAGCATACAGAGGTAAACTATATCACGCGTTCATTACACAATACCCACATTTAGCACACTTAACAGAACAACGCATTGCAGACCAACGTAGAGTTATTATTAAAAATACACTCCTTACATTAGACACACAGGAACAAGTCAGGCACGAAATTGAAGCACTACTCAACACAAACAACACACTCGCCGTACAAGATAATACATCCGTTCTAAACAACTCTGAAATACAGACATTTGCGACACTGCAGCCATCGATAGATACACATAATCACACGAACCAAACACTCACATCCCTTCAAAAAGAATTCGACAATGCATTGTTAGAATTCTCAAACACTGACCCAACGCAAAGACCACGAATACCTAAACACAGTCACACTACAAAATTACGCACACTGTCACAAACATTAAATGACCACATTTTACCAAATTACATTAACGATAACACAAGCTTACATCAACTACACTTTGTTGTGTATTGCGGTGCGGTTGCAGTTTCTAGATGCAACGGTGCAGGAATAGCAATAAACAAACAACAGCACACAACAAAAAAACGCTCACCCCCGGCCTGGGAAAAACGCCTGATAACTCGCATCGATGACATCAGACGTGACTTGGGTCGGATTACACAATACATACAAGGAACTCGTTCTTCAAAACTAACACGACAAGTACAACACATAACTACAAAACTAAACAATCACACCACACGAGAACAAAATACAAACTATAACGAACATAGAGATACACTCACACAAAAACTATCAATATACACAAACCGTTTAAAACGCTATAGGGAAACTGCAGACAGAAAGCGCCATAACACACAATTTAAACATAACGAAAAACTATTTTTTTCACTACTAGCGTCTGATGACATGATTATTAACCTTTTTTCCACTTGTAAAGTAGGCTTTTTCGGCATTTGTTCAAAGTGGTTAATAATTTTTTATTATTAACTAGTAGTCAATAATGAGAACTGTCACGCTGTCACTTTTAGAAAACACAACCCGAAATTTCGCTCAATGACCGTTTAGACAAGTTCTCTAAAACGAATAATTGCCACCATTCGCAATTTCCAGAGAAATTACATACCTAAAATTATCACATTTTGAAAAAATTCGAACGAAATTACTCTTTGAAAAATCTCAATGACAGAACAAAATACGGCCTGTTTGACTTGTACTTCCACGTACTTGATTGACATGTTAAATTAAGAAACAAACAATTCTGTCCAACCGTTAACTCTCTTATCAATATAATATGTTAATTTAGAGGATTTCAAGTGCTAGTAGTGAAAAAATAGTATATATACCACGGTAGAGAAGTCTATTATTGCCTTCGCACCTTACACCCCTCGGCGCAAGCGCCTCGAGATGTAATCTTGGTGCTCAGGCAATAATAGTGGACTTCTCTACCTTGATATATAATGTACTATTACAGATCACTAACACAAAACAGCACTAATGAAAAACTCATTCCACCATCTCTACACTCACTTCAGCAATACTGGTCTGACTTATGGACCAAAGACATTAAACACAATCCACACGCCCCGTGGATTATACCACAGAAACCACACGCACTGAATACATTACTCCTATGAATAACACAAACATCACTACAACAGACATCATTCAAACTATTAATCACTTACATAACTGGAAAAGTCCAGGCATTGATAACATTCACACAACTTTTGGTGGAAATATTTTACCTACACTCACTCTTACCTTGCACAACAATTTACTGAACTTCTTAATTCACCAGATCGCACTCCTGCATTCTTTACACAAGGTATCACTTACATGCTCCCAAAAGACAACAATACACAAGACCCATCTAAATATAGACCAATTACATGCCTTCCTATAATATACAAAATCCTTACATCATGCATTACAAACAAAATATACCAACACTGTACTGATAACAACATTCTATACGAAGAACAAAAAGGGTGTACCAAGTATTCCAGAGGCTGTAAAGAGCAACTCATTATAGACTCTGTTATACTTGAACAATCCAGACATAACAAACGAAACATACACACTGCATACATTGATTATAAAAAAGCATTTGATTCAGTACCACACTCTTGGTTACAACAAGTACTCTCAATATACAAAGTCAGCAACAATATTACACAATTCCTCAATTACATAATGTCATGTTGGAACACTACGTTAACGCTTACACTAAACGACACAAAACTTATTACCGACCCAATACAAATTAAAAGAGGAATTTTTCAAGGCGATTCTTTAAGTCCGCTCTGGTTTTGTCTTGCTCTTAATCCACTTTCATATTTGTTAAACACTACTAACTTTGGGTACAATATTAAACACAACCACGAAATACATCACAACATTACACACCTGTTTTACATGGACGATCTTAAATTATACTCTTCCACAAGCATAAAACTTAATCACCTTCTACACATTACCGAAATATTCTCACGTGACAAACAAATGGACTTTGGAATCGATAAATGTAAAACACAACACATCACAGCTGGAAAAATACAACTTTTAGATTATGAGCTAGAACAGGGTAATTTAATAAATTCCATGGACGAGAAGGAAACTTATAAGTATCTTGGTTTTCAGCAAAACACACACATTAAACATACGAGTATAAAACAAACACTTATCACACAATACCTACAATGAGTACGCAGTATACTTAAAACAAAATTACACGGTAGAAATACAATCAAGGCCATTAACACTTACGCCACACCAGTGCTTACATACTCTTTTGGGATTATACGTTGGACAAATACAGATTTAGAACAAATACAGAGAAACACACGTACACTATTAACAAAACACCATATACATCACCCTCACTCATCTACTATACGACTTTACCTTCCTCGTTCGGAAGGAGGTAGAGGACTTACAGATATAAAAATATTGCACCAAACACAAATACACAATTTGCGACAATACTTTTATAACAAAACAGATACTTCAGGCCTACACAAAACAGTAACATATGCAGACAAATCTTACACACCACTTAACCTACACGAAACTAATCTACTCCTACCTCCATCCAAACTTACATACATCACAAATAACATACAGACATGGAACCAAAAGCCGTTACATGGACGATTTCCGCAAGAGGTTAGTCAGGATTGTGTTGATTCTATAGCAACGCACACTTGGTTGTCTGAATGTGATATCTTCCCGGAGACTGAGGGTTTCATGTTAGCAATACAAGACCAGGTCATTAATACTCGCAACTATAAAAAACACATACATAAAGACAAAACAGTGACAAACGATTCTTGTCGACTCTGTTCACAAACATCAGAAACAATCCAACATATAATATCGGCATGCACACGACTTGTACAAACTGAATACAAACATCGACACGATCAGGTAGCTAAAATCATACATCAAAAATTAGCACTTAAACACAATCTCATAACAGATAAGACACCATACTACAAATACACGCCATACAGATCATACTTGAAAACAACACACACAAATTATATTGGGACAGGACACTACTCACAGACAAAACTATCCACAATAATAGACCAGATATTACACTTATAGATAAAACACAAAAATTCATTTGTATTATAGACATTGCCATACCCAACACTAACAACTTAACTAAAACACATGCAGAAAAACACCGCAAATACACCGATATAGCTATCGAACTTAAGACGCAATGGAGAATGAAATCTACTGTTATAGTTCCCATTATTCTTAGTGCTACTGGAGTTATACCAAAGACAATACCCCACAATTTACAACTATTAGGTTTAGACAAAAACACATACAAACATTTACAAAAAGCAGTCATTATCAACACATGCCATATTGTTCGTAAATTTCTAAACATCACACAAGATACTACATACAGAAATGATCCACAACGTATACATGTAAACAACAGCACTCCCTCACAACACGGTACACAACATACTGTAATATCTCCACCTCTAACCCAAACAAACACACAAATACAACTTACCGAACAAACAAGTACAACAAATGATACAACATATATTACATTCAGAGATTCACCTCTGAAGCAAACCACATTATCACGACCCATTAGTATTCAACCCAAACGCAAAAGCCTAAACAGCACTTTAGACTCACAACATGACACACAACATACTGTAATATCTCCACCCTTAACTCAACCAACCACACAAACACAACTTCCTGAACAAACAAACGCAATAAATACAAGTAACGCAACATGCACTACAAAGATGCCCTCACCCAATAAAGTTACACGGCCTAGCACAGCTAAAAAACACAATACTCTTTCTTCTCAGAATCACGCCACGTTATCACAACCCACTCGTACTCAACCCAAACGCAACAACCTTAACAGCACTACAGGCTCACAAAATACTGTAATGTCTCCATCAATAACCCAAGCAACAACACAAATACAACCTCAAGAACAAAGAAACACCATAAATACAAGTAACGCAACATGCACCACAAAGACAGGTCCACCAAATAAAGTTACACGTCCTAGCACAGTTAAAAAACACAAAACTCCTTCTTCGCAGAAACACACCACGTTATCACAACCCACTCGTACTCAACCCAAACGCAACAACCTTAACAGCACTACTAGCTCACAAAATAGGTACTGTAATATCTCCACGAATAACCCAAGCAACCACATAAATACAACCTCAAGAACAAAGAAAC